CAGCTCACAGGCTCCACTCAGGCCCAACAGGCTGAGAACAGGGGACCCTGGGAAGCTGCTCACACTCCAGCTTCCACATAGGATGGAGGGTCCACGCTGGGAAGGGCCAGGTGAGAGACCAGGGGCTGCCATCCTCCGCACCGTGCCCCGAGCTCTGCCTCAGAGAGCAACACCGCAAACCCTATGAGGGGCAGCTAACAGAACACTTAGAGGAAAATTTATAGATGGGAATTCACATGCAGCTACATTGAATAGACAACAATGATCTCAAACCAGTAACCTAATATTCCACACTAAAGAGTGAGTGAGGCAGCAGTCAATACCTAAAGCAATCACAAGAATAATATAGGAAAGAGTAGCATGGAAATTAATGAACTAGAGAACAAAGAAACAGTACAGAAAACCAGTAGACCCAAAGCTAGGTCCATTGGAAATACCAACAAATTGACAAATCTTCAGCTAGTATGACTAAAGACATATAGAGAATTACTAAATAAAAAATGAAAAGGGGATACTATTACTGAGTTTATCAAAATACAACAATTATAAAGAAATATCACAAATAATTTTATGTTCCAAAATTACATAGCACAGGTGATATGGAAAAATTCATAAACTACCAAAATTAACTCAAGCAAATAATAGAATATTTAAATAGACCTGTACTACGTAAAAAGATTAAATTACTAATAAAAAATATTACCTCCCAAGAAACACCCAGGCCCACATGGCTTGCCTGATAATATATAACTACAGACAATATATCTCCTATGATTGTGGATGGAAAAATTCTTCACAAAATACCAAAGAAAAGAATCCAGCAATATGTAAAAGGGCATATACACTGTGACCAAGTAGAATCTATCCCAAGAATGCAATACTGGGTTCACATTCAAAAATCAATCAGTGTAATAAACCGTTACCAACAGAAAGGAGAAGAAAAATGCATGATAATCTCACCAAATTTAGAAAACTACTTGACAAAAATGAACACCCTTTCAAAATAAATCACACAGCAATCTAGGAAGAGAGAGAAACTTCCACAACCGACTAAAGGCATCTATAAGATCCCACAGCTGGGACCTACTCAGTGATGATGGACTGAAAGCTCTCCCGAAAGGTCAGGACTAAGACAGAGATACCTGCTCCTGCTACTTCATTCCCATGCTGTGCAGGAGGGTCTGACCAGGGCGATTAGGCAGAATGGACACTGTTCCAAACGAGAAGGGGTCAGCACCCATCAGTCAGTTCACGGGATGCATCACATTGACAGTGTGAAAGATAAAAGTTATTTCATCATCTAAGTAAAGAAAAAGCGCTGGACAAAACCCAGCATCCTGTCATAATAAAAACTCTTAACACGCTGGGCACAAACAAAGCCCATATGTGACAAGCCCACGGCTAACATCATCGAAAGTAAAAAGCTGAGAGCTTATTATATGAAATGTTAAAGGTACTTATCTCAGAAAAAGAAGTTAAAAAAACATGAACAGTGAAAGGACAGCAAACTCACAGTTATTAACAACCACACCTAAAACAAAAGCAAACTAAAAGGACAGCTAGATCAGGAGTGGAAACATAGAAATGAAGATCTCAAGGAGGGTTAGCAACAGGGGAGTGGGAGGAGGAGAAGGGAGGAGAAGGTACAGAAAATAAGTAGCATAGACAGTAGATAGAAAATAGATGGAAGGGCAAGAATAGTAGGGGAAAAATAGAATCTAAAGAACTTGAGACACATGGTCATAAACTAAAGGGGGGTAATGGGGGGGGTAGGGTGGAAGGGAATGAAGGGGGGAATAGAACAACTGTAACAGCATAATCAATAAATAAATTTTAAAAATTTTTTTAAAAAGGGGAAAAAAAGCTGAGAGCTTTTCTTCAAAGTTCAGGAGCAATACAAGGATGCCCACTCTCACTACTTTTATTCAACATTCTACTGGAAGTCCTGGTCAGAGCAATTAGGCATGAGAAAAATAAAAGGCATCCAAATCAAAAACGAAAAAGTAAAATGGTCTCTATTTGCAAATGACATAATGTTATGTAGCTAAAATCCACCAAAAAAATCCTGTGAGAAATGATAAGCAAATTCAGTGCATTTGCAGGACACAAAATCAATATACAAATACAAAAAATCGATTGCATTTTCATACACTAATAATGATTTATCAGAAAGAGAAATTAAGAAAATAATCCCACATACAATAACATCACAAAGAATAAAATACCAAGGAGTAAATTAAGTTGAAAGAGGAGCTGAAAGACTGTATATTGAAAACTATTAGATATTGTTAAAAGAAATTGAAGAAGGCACAATATATGGAAAGCTATTTCGTGCTTATGGATTTGGAGAATTAATATTTTCAAATGTCCATATGACTCAGAACAATCTACAGATCCAACAAAATTCCTGTCAAAACGCCAATGGCATTTTTCACAGAAATAGAAAAAAAATTCTAAAACTTTTATAGAAACTCAAACGATGCTGAATAGCCAAAGCAGTCTTAAGAAAGAATAAGAAAGCCGGAGGTATCACATATCATGGTTTCAAACTATATTACAAAGTTATACTAATCAAAACAGGATGGTAATGTCACACACACACACACAAAAAAAAACCAGACACATACATCAATGGGGGGGAATAAAGACCCAGAAATCAATGGCCAATTGATTTACAACAAATGAGTCAAGAATATACAATGGGAAAAGGAAAGTCTCTTCAGTGAACAGTGCTGTCAAATGGGGCAACCACGTGAAAAAGAAGCAAATTGGACTCTAGTCTGATACTACACACAAAAATCAACTCCAATGGACTAAGGTCTGAACATATGACCTGAAACTATAAACTTCCTAAAAGAAAACAAAGGGTGTAAGCTCCTTCACATCAGTCTTGGTCATCATTGTTTGGATCTGGCCCCAAAACCAAGGAAACAGAAGCAAAAATAAGTAAGTGGGGCAACATCAAATTGATAAGCTCCTGCCAAGCACAGAAAACCACCCACACACTGAAAAGGCAATTTACAGAATGGCAGAAAACACTTGCCAGTGATGTATCTAATCAGGAGATAAGATGTAAAATATATGGGAAACCCTTACACCTCGGTAGCAAAAACCAAACAATCCCTTCTTTAAAAGTGGGCAGACAGATTGAATAGACATCTTTTTTAAAAAGACACGTAAGTGGCCAACAGAACACGGTTTCCAGCATCAGTGATTATCAGGGAAATGAGAATGAAAACCACAATGAGACAGCACCTCACCCCTGTTAGAATGCCTATTGTCAAAAACACAAGAGGTAACAAGTGTTGGTGAGGACCTGGGGGGAAGGGAACGTTTGTAAACTGTCGGTGGGAATGTAAAGAGGGACAGCCACTCTGGAAAACAGCAGGGAAAGTCACCAAGCACCTGAAGACAGCACCACCACCTGGTCCACACGGACGCCATCCACAGGGAATGAGCACAGGACCCCAAAGAGGCCTCCGCACGTCCCTGCTCACTGCACAGTTACTCAGAGCAGCCAGGGTGTGGGGACCACCTGAGGCCCTGTGTAGGGACCAACAGATAAAGGTCACGTGACAGGTACCAGGGACAGAGTATGCAGGAGGGGGCAAAAGTGGGTGTAGGGTGGTGAGTACAAAAACAGCAATTAATGAAAAATGATACAGGATTAACCTCTACTTTCCGAACTCACAAAAAAGTAAACCTACCTTTGCCTGCCACGTGTGTGTGTGTGTGTGTGTGTTCAGCCATGAGAATCATAAGGACATGTTTCCACTTGCAGACGGACATGAAGGGCATTTGGTCAGTGAAGTTAGTCCGACAGGGTAATAAACACTGTACGACATCACTTCCAACTGTGGATTTTAAACACCCAAACTCTCAGAGACGAGAGCAGTCTGGCTGTTAGCAGGGGCAGGCTGGTGGGGAATGGGGGGGCCAGTGGTCAGACTGCACAACGGCCACTTAGAGATGAATTAGTTCTGGGGACCAAATGTGCCTCACAGTGACTGGAGTTGATGACACTGTTCTGCCCTGAAAGTTGCTAAGAGGGCAGGTCCTCAGTGTTGTCAGCACAGGACAGAAACAGGAATCATGGGAAGTGGTGCAGGTGTTAGCAGCCCAACGCACGCCATAGTGTTCACTGTCTTTGCCGACATGTAAATGCATCAAATCAGCACGCTCCGTACTTCCAACTTCCACAGTGTTGCACGTCAATGACCTCTCAGTAGAGCTGGGGGGTGTGGGGGGACAGTAGGTGGGGTTCAGTGGGTTCTTCATTACAAATAATGAGCTGGCAAAGATGGGCTGAAACCAGACCCCAGCCCATGACCTTCACAGGAAGTTAAACCCCTCACTATCTATGGGCAATGTCACCTCCAGGGAGCCTCAGGGAGTCAGGCCCTGTCACATCTTGTCCCTGACCTGCCAGGCCCAGGCCCCGCACCCACATGACCCTGGGGCAGCCTCCTTCCCTCTCTGCCAAACCCGTGTTTCCTCACCTCCCTCAGGTCTCCTGCCCCCTGGTGGGAGACACCTGCAGAGGGGCTGGGGCGGCTCTGGGGGACAGTGCTCCCCCCTCCCCGCGGCCCTGTGCTGGACTTTCGGGAAGGCCTTCCCTTCTGTTGAGAACCCAGAGACCCTGCCCGGGGTGTTCCTGGCACGCAGGGTGGCCTCTGTGGCACTGGCCCAAGGAAGGAGGCTCTTGAGAGGGCATTTCAGAGGTAAATGCCCAGCAAGCAAAAGCAGTTAAGACTCATGGTCAAGGCTAGAAAGGAATACAGGCCTCAGAACCTTACATGCTCTTGTCCTCTGAGGTTACAGCCCCTGGGGGACAAGCTGTTGGTGTCACAGGGACTTTCAGAGGACACCACCATGGACCACAGCCTCATTTCCCAGTGGAAACTCAGCATCCCCACTCCCTCAATAAGGAGTGTTCCTGTCTCTTTAAATTGTCACCCTGGCCCCACCCTCACCCCACCCCTGGGCTTCCTGCTCTCTGAGGTCTGAGAGGCAGGACACTTGCCCTGGTAGCAGGAGGAACAGCCTGCTGCACTGAAACCAGAGGACAGCAGTTGGTGCTGGGCTTCTGTGACTGTCCCCTCTCTGCAGGAAAGGTGAGCCCAGTGGGGGATGGCCCCCAGGGGAGGAGGGTTGTGAGGATGGGGAGGAATGCAGTGTGGGCAGGAAGCTCCCTGAGTGAGTGGCTCTGGGCCAGAGGGCGGTGGGAAGGGGCTCAGGACCCAGAGGGAGACATTCAGGACACCCTGAGTCCCACACAGAGCAGGTTATGGCCACAGCTCCCCCAGCCCCGGTGCCCACAGGACCAACCCTCTCCCAAGGGCTCCCCTCGCAAGCAGGGGAGGGGGTCAGCTTGCTTTCCTACAGGGACCAAAACTCCCTTTACACAGCAGCAGACTCCCCCCACATGTGTATGCACACAGGCAAGAGATTTCTGAGGATATGGGAGCAAGTCCCCTAAGAACATGAGACAAAGGGACAATAGTGTGGGCACCTGGGCTGAACTGCCCAAAACACTCCACTCTGCTCTGAGTTGTCCACAGAGGGCTTGCTGGAGGAGGCAGCCAAGGTCGTGAACTCGGTCTTTGCACACCTGTCATAACTCTGCCCTTAGACACTGCTCCAAACCTGAGCTTTCAGGGTGTGTGCGCGGCTGAGCCCCTGAGCTCCCAACACTTGGCGGCCCTGAAGAGACGGACTGAGCTCAGCAAACCTCTCCCAGCATCAGCTCCAATCCTGCCTGGACCCTTGCAGTGTTGCTCCCTCAAGTGCCATGTTCAAGGCAAGTGGGACGACGACTTTGTCACTGTGCTGTCGACAGCTCTTTGGAGGTAGTTGTACCTACTTGCTGAACAGATTGTATTTGGCACTCTTCCAGCTCAGCAAGAGAGGACGGAAGAAGGTGAGAGATAAGAAAAACACCTGCAGTAACAGCACGTCTCACACTGAGAACTTGCCTCCAGGTATGAGCTCTGGGTGATGATGGAAATGGGCGACCTCAGGACTGAGCAGGCAGGCCCTAAAGGACGCCCCGAGATGTTAGGGGCGACACAGCAAGAGCCCTGACCTGTGTGCTGTAGCTGAGTCCCTGCCCCTGCCCAGCTGGGAGGTACTAACATCTTTCACTGGCCTTCACTCCCTGGTGCCAAAGTGTACAATGAGGACACTAAACCCACCCTGACCCCACAGAGGAGGATGGAGAGGGCATCAGCTCCTGCACTGGAGGGGGGTCACGCACCAGGTAGAGGGTTAGAGACCCAGGGTGGGGAGTACACAGGTGTCTCATTAGTAGGCAGCAGGGTTAAGAGAGGGAGATGGGGTGAGGGGAGAAGAGGGGGAGAGGGAGAGGAGGAGGAAGGAAAGGAGTGATGGCATCTAACATCCCCAGGAGGAAACAACACCACACTTACTCCCAATTTTGCACAAAGGGTTAACACTTAGATTAAGCAACTGCCAAGGTGGCACAGCCGGCCCACGGCAGGGCTGGGAGGCAAGCCCGGGTCTGGGACCCCACAGAGCCCTTCACACTCAGGCCCACCGCCCCCTCCTGCCCTCTTCCCTGGGCTGGACCCTGGGGGACAGTGGCAGAGGCCACTGATGCTGCCCAGCAGGGACAGCTCTGCCCCATGAGGACGACCAGGGATAATGCAGGGGAGACCATGCCTGGGACTACACAGGGACACCCTCTAGAGGAATGCCCACCAGGTGACGAGCACCTACAGGTGCTCCTGGTGAAGCCGAGAGGGCAGGGGTGATGGTGAAGGTGCCCTGGGGTTGGGACAGCTCTGACCGATGACCACAGTAAGGGTTTGCTTGGAAAGCAGAGTTGAAATGCTGTTGTTCTCCCTTGTAAGGGCTCTGGGGGTTCGGGTGGGGGGACCAGGTAACCAGGACACTTAGTTGCTTTAGGGTTTGGAAGCTCATAGACCACCTGTCCTCCAGGTTATGAAGACACCACGAGTGGCCCAAAGGAGAAGAAGCTGAGGCTCATCCTGGCAGGGAGGACAGGGGTGGGGAAGAGCGCCACTGGGAACAGCATCCTGGGCCGGAGGTGCTTCGTCTCCAGGCTCGAGGCCACCTCAGTGACCAGAACATGCGAGGTGCAGAGCTGCAAGTGGGATGACTGGCACGTGGAAGTCATGGACACCCCGGACATTTTCAGCTCTCAAGTCCCCAAAACAGACCCAGGATTCCATGAGCGGACGAGCTGCTACCTGCTGTCGGCACCCGGGCCCCATGCGCTGGTCCTGGTGACTCAGCTGGGCCGCTTCACCATGCAGGACCAGCAGGCCCTGACAGCACTCAAGGACTTGTTCGGGGACCATGTGACAGCGCGCACCATTGTACTGTTCACCCACAAGGAGGACCTGGCAGGGGTCTCACTGCAGGAGTTCGTGCGTGACACAGACAACGGCGCACTGAGGAGGCTGGTGGACGAGTGCGGGGGCCGCGTGTGTGCCTTCAACAACCGGGCGGTGGGCTCAGAGCAGGAAGCCCAGGTGCGGGAGCTGCTGAGCCTGGTGGACCGCCTAGTATGGGACCACTCTGGTGTCCCCTTCACCAACGACGTGTACCACCTGGTGCAGACGCTGGCCAGGGTGGGTCCGGAGGAGCAGAGACGCAGGGTGGCCAAGAAACTGAAGCACCGCCAGCGGGGCTGGAAGAGATGGTGGTTCAGGTGGCAGGATCGCAGGCAAAGAAGATGATCCGGGCCCTGCTGCTGGGTGCCCTGGTCATGCTCTGGCTGCTGCTCACCAGACACTGGCCTGATGCCCAGGTGGGACCTGAGTGACAGGCTGTAACAGGACATTGTTCCACCAGCTGACAGTCATACTCAATTCTGGTATTTGTGCCTCCAGGGTCCCCAGGCTTTTCTGTGTCCCTCAACTGGCAGTAATCTACCAACAACAAAGTCCTACCAGGGCCCATTGCCCTCCTCCCCGCAAAACCTGTCCCTGTGACCTGACCCTCTCTGAGCTCTTTTCTTACTTAAGCTAAACAACTGTTGCTTTTGCCTCTTTTCCACTGACCTCAGGCTGTGTCCTCTGTCACTGAATCAGCCCCTGTCTCCCCACTGGACCAGGGTCAGGCCCCACCCAAACCCTCAGTCCATTCCCACTGGTTTCAGTTGACCATGAAATGAGTGAATAAATGCACTGGATGTTCACATCGTGTTGTCTGACATCAGTATTTGTAGACATTAGTTCATACGCCTGATATGCCCATTGAACAAAGGAACTGCTCTGTGGTCCTAGACCCCATCTGCAAAAGCACACTTACACCCAAGTGCAGAAAGACACACACACACACTAGGGTGTGCGCACACAGAAAGAGAAGACCCTGAAGAACTGTCCCTCTGTCTCAGCAGGAGACACCTCCCCCTGAGTTACCATCACATCCCTTAGCAGCTTAAATGCAGAGGCTGCTGAAGCCCAAGGAAACTTGAACTAGAGACTCAAATCCCTGGGAGTCACAGAGACCCTCAGGAGAGTCCACTTCCCCAGAGGACTTTTGCCACTGGCTGGCACGCTCAGAGGGTGGGGTGTGCTTTTCCACTGAGGGGTAAGGCCAAAGGAATTTAGAGGGTGGGAAATTTTTCTTTTAACCTCATAATAAAGGGCACACAGACCCTGGTGGGCTGAGCACTGGTGACACCATGGTGGGCAAATTGTCCACTCCACTGTGCCATGCAGATCCGGGAGGGTCAACTCTGGGCCCAGGTAGAATGAGCCAGGTTAGCCAACTCATCTCTGCACCCACACTTGCTGTGTCCCCAGGGTCTCCACCCTCACACACAAACTCAAGCTCAAACCGGATCCTACTGGGTCCCTATGGTGTCCTCTGCCCTGTGCTTCACGGACAGAGAGTCCCAGGTCACTGATGCCCTCACATCACTGAAGAGACACATCAAAGGGAAATAATCTGCAACAGCTGAGCACACAGTGGAGAGAGAGGCCCAGCAGCCCCTCCTGGAACCACTGCCAACATGAACAGGAACTCAAGGCCAAGGCCAAGACTCATCACTTCCACTGCTGCCAAGGTCAGTCTGACGCTAGGGTCATGCACAGATCCCAGCAGGGGCCCTGATGGGGAATCTGGATCCTACTCTTGTCCACTTTCCAATATCCTTTCAAAGGAACAAAGAGGAAAAGGCTACCATTGTCCCTTTGCTGAGATGGGACATGGTCAGTGGTAAACAAATGAGAAAGACAAGCAAAGCATCCAGTGGGAGCAATGAAACACGTGATTCTTGCCCTTTGGTTGGGGCGGGAGTGAGTCCAAGGTCCCCCAGGGACAGTGATAAAGCTGCTGGGATGTGGGGAGGAGCCCCCAGGGGTTTCCTCACTCAGCATACAGTTGGGTCTTGCCTTAAACCCAACCTGACTGTCTTATAATGGGAGCATTTGATGATCTACATCTAACACAGTTACTGATATGGTTGGGTTTGAATTCATCATTTTGCTATGTGTTTCTATTGTCCCATCTGTCCCTTTTTTCAGCCTTTTTGGTCAATTTTAAAATTTCACTGTATTTCATCTCCTGCTTTATTAGCTGCACCTCATGTTAGTTTCCCAGTGGTTGCTCCATGATTGACAGTATGCACCTTTAACCTACATTCCACCTCCAGTGAATAGTCCATCACAACGCAAGTCCTCTAAGATCTCTATGACATTCAACCATTGCTTCCTCTCTCCCCATTTATGCACCATTGATGCCCTACCTTTTACAGTTACAGAAAATAGAACCTCAGCCAGCCCTGGCTGGTGTGGCTCAATGGATTGAGTGATGGCCTGAGAAGCAAAGGGTCACTGATTCAATTTCCAGACAGGACACACACCTGGATTTCTGGTCAGGTCGCTGTTTGGGGGGACCCAAGAGGTAACCACACATTCATGTTTCTCTACCTCTCTTTCTCCCTCATTCCCCTCTCTCTAAAAATTGATGCATGCACTGGCCTGAAGTGCCCATGAAATTATGGATAAAAAATCAAGACAAATTCACATGGACTAGCCAGCCCTGTGGAGGAAAAGGGATGGCTTGGCTATTCTCTCAAGGGAAGAGTGCCTCAGAATGGCCTAACCACCCTCTCAAGGGGAGAGCATCCCGACCCTTGCCTAGACAGGCTTTTATTGGTTTTGTGTGTGTGTATGCAGGAGTTCAGGTACAACTTATTAATCATTTTCAGGCAGTAAACAGTAGATAGCATACAAAGAACTATTGGGGCTTCTTCTAAGTCAGGGTCTACCAGAAAACTTTGGGAAAACAAACTCATTTTCTGCTAGGGCCTTTATCATTTAACTAAGAGCATTCTTAGCAAAGCAGGCTCTACAAGATTTTACATATTCTTTCTCAGGCCTAATCACCCAAGAAGCCCACCATTCCAAGCACAGGGCTGCACCACCCTCTGTCACTGTTTCAGGTTTAAGTCAGGCAGAGGAGGCAAATAGCCAAGGAATTTTCAAAGACTTCTCCCAGACTCAGGGGAGTCAGGCTTCGTCAAAGCCGAGGGGTGAGGGTCCATTACCCTCTTTCTTCATAGCCCCCCCCCCCCAAGTCCTTCCCTGGGGCTTCCATGTGATTGTGCTTGTCTTAGGTCAATCCTTCCTTGAGGAATCTTACCTTTCATTAGTTAACTGATCAAGCACTGGAGGCCAGTTATATAAAAAGAAGTGGACCTCCTGCCAGGGAGATAAGCTTTGTCTCCTTAGTGGTTTATGGTCCAAAGGTTGCTCACTCAGCCTTAGCCTTGGGTGGGGGGGGACATGGGGGGTATAGCTCCTGAAACTAGGCAGGGCGGTTCCCAACAAAAAATAAATAAATAAAATATTTTAAAAAACACTTTTAAATGGGGAGATGGTAAAAGAAATGATTACTTTGGTCATGGGAAGCTTTGTAGAAAAATGTTAAGAAAAGACCAAAACGCTTTTACAGCATACTGAACATGAAAGATCGTGCATGAAGCCATCAAACAGTTGCCCATAGAAGGCAAGACAGTTTTAATAATGTGAAAAAGTAACTAATTTAAAATTTTCAAAATTGCAAGTTATCTTTACAATCGACAATATGTATTTGAATGCTATGCACATATATAGTTTCAACCATAAATGCTGAAAGGCCCAACAAAGAGGGAGGACCGCACTGACCAGCATCTACTGGTAATGTCCAGTGGAATGTCTGCTCCCCAACGATGCTGACTCTGGAGCACCTGGTCCTCCCCAATCACAGAAAAAAAAAAGATAAAAGCTCTGGATCTGCCCGGCAGCTTAATTGGTTGGAGCATCATCCTGTACACCAGAAGATTTTGGGTTTGGTCCCCAGTGGGCACATAGGGGAGGCAACAGATGGATGCTTTCTCTCTCTCCCTCTTTCTAACCCTAACTTTTGATCTGTCTAAAATCAATAAACACATCCTCAGGTGAAGAATTTCTTTAAATGTCTGAATCCTAAGTCACAGAGAGGTGATGGCTAAAACATCCATATAGATTTCCCCTCCCTTCTGAGAACCCAACATTGCTGCCTTGGGTCAGGGAAAAGAGGGAAAGAAAAACAGAAGGAAGAGGTAAACAATGTCCCTTCATTGGCTGAAAGGAGAAACACAGACAAAGCAAACAACAACACTGAGGAAATTACATTTTCCGTCTCAGTGCTCTAAGGAGCCCCAGTGCCCCAGGATGCAGCTGGACAGGGTGCCTGTCCTAGGAAACATATGGGGGTTGCACCTCAATTGACCTTCTTCTCTTCCCTTCCCTTCCCTTCCCTTCCCTTCCCTTCCCTTCCCTTCCCTTCCCTCCCCCTCCCCCCCCCCCCCTTCCTTTCTTTACCTTACCTTACCTTACCTTACCTTACCTTACCTTACCTTACCTTACCTTACCTTACCTTACCTTCCCAAACTGATTCCAGCAGGGATTTGTTTCATTTCAGCTTTCTCTTCTCCTGATGGTTTCTTTTTTCACTTCCTCCCTCTGATGCTTCCCCTCCAGACTCCCACAAGCATTCACACCGCTCCCAGAGAGGACTTGGGTTGAACCTGGTGGTCCAGCCCTGCTCACACGAGTCTCCATCACATTCCTTCTCCTCCTCCTCTTTCCTCAGGGCAACCCCCATCTCCTCCCTGCCACCTGCCAACCCTTCCCAAGTGTTTTACTTTAGAACTGTAGGGGAAATGAGATATAAAATCTGCCCAAATAATATTGTGTCTTAAAGAATTCCCCAAATCTAGGAAGAATGTCATAAACTCGGGGAGGAAAATTCAATGGGTGCTATAGGTTTGTTCATATCTTTTGAACCTGTCAGATGGGAAATTGAATTGCTGTTTGATACCAGTCCCTCTTGGTGGGAGTATCTGCTTCAGACTGCAGGGACAGACCCTGACAGGGACCTATCAGCAATGGGTTGATGAGGAACATTCCCTGGCTCCTTCTGTGTGTTGCAGAGAACACAGTAGGACCACCTGTGGTGCCATGTGTAGGACAGAGGATTCAGCACAGCTGCATAGTCCACGTGAGAATTCACTTTGTGGCTGACCTTCCTATGGAAACGTTTCCATCTCATCCAAAACACCAATACGACTCACCTATTTGACTCTGGTGTGCTTGGAACAAAGTATTACTTTTCTTTACTCCCACTTTGTATTAAATCCCTGGGGTCTATGAGACCCTCACAAAATATGTCTCCCCTTACCCTGTGGAGAGTTGGTGAACCCTGGCTTGAGTAAGACTTTCACAGCAAGGACAGTCCCAAGCCCTTGTTGCTCTTAGAAGCACTTTCTGAGCTCCTCCCTCCTGGTGCTTCCCTCTGAGCTCTCAGTCATGTGCCACTGTCCTCTGTCCATCGTGTCCAGGTCATGCAGACCTACAGTTCACTTCTATCTCTGGTAGCACAGTAACAGCACGTATGGAGATTCCTGTAGCCTTTGGCATTGTCCCTGAGATTTTGGAAGTCACGGGAGGGGTCCCCCAGGCAGCACCAGGCATTACTACATCAAGCTGATGGTTTTCCACCTAGAAGGAACAAGGGCTCATCCTATAACCCAAGAGGAAGGGGAACTTCATAAATTATCCCCTTCTGCCAAAGTCAAAGTGGTTGGTGTCTTTCAGGATGTGAAATCATTTTTTCTTATTATTATTACCACTTCTCCAAAACAGAAACCAGACTGTCCTCCCTCCA